GCTTGCCTTAATATTCGACGTTATATTCGTATCGCACTGTAACGTCGAATACTCAGGCAAGCTGATGGCGCATACTCGGCCGGGTTCGCCGCGGCCGCGCCCCAAGTTTTTCGAAGAAAGTGGGGGAGCCGGGTGTCTTCCTCTACGAGTTCAGTGAAGAGGGCGACGATCGGGCATGCAGGACGCGAAAATTCATGCTGTTCACGCTGGCCTGAGAGCATAGTCCATATGACGCAGTGTTGGCAATGGTTCACCTGAGCGTCTGTTTTTGTAGAGAATGATTTCCGCCTGGTCTATCGCAGCCTTTTTCTCTTGAAAAATGTTTTTTTCATAACTTCCCCAATTAGCTTTTCCTATACTGTCTGTTTCATGTTCTACCCCACTTTCTTCACACTTTGGGGCGCGGCTCCCATACTTTCTGCACGATTTGGGGCGCGAGCGCGACCAAATTGGTAGTGCCTGCGAACCGTGCTGATGGAGCGCTTTCACACTTATCCGCACAGTTTTCAGGCACTACCAACTCGGCCGCTCCCCAAAGTGTGAAGAAAGTGGGAGAGCATGTTTCGTGTTCTGAGTCAAAATTTCTGCCCTATGGGGACGCACAGGCTCTTTGTTCCGGTGCACCAAGCGTGATATTCGAGGGGTGTGTACATCGCGATTCAATTTCCACCACTTGAATTACGGTATTTCTCCGCTAACGGACTTTGATGGTAAAGTGTAGGTCCGAATGAATACTTCCGAAGGTTCTGTCCTTGTGTCTTGCCAGTGCCGCAACGATGAGCCTCCGCCCTTCATGCTCAGTGGAACCATCACGTGTGCGACGTAGTCCGTACCCGTAATGTTTCCGCTGAGTGTTCGGGACGTGTCGATATTAGGTTTCATTTTTGTTGTGTTGCACTTCATTTACTCTCCTTCGAGGATGTAACTCACATTGTTTGCCGTTAACCGTTGACCAGCTCATAGCGTTGTCTGGTACCTTGGCGCTAAGCTTCTTAGCTCTAAATGCGCTATCATATTTGTCTGCATCAATTGCCGAGTATAACTCACACAGTGAAGTTGAAGCGAAGTTCGGTTAGTACCCCAGTACCATACAGTAATGTTATTATGAGAAACATTTTCGATCATTTTTAGACCGAACAGTTTTTATAACAAAGATCGGTAACTTTTCAATCGATGAGTTTCAGCATTGTTGCCTTCTTCAGCCCTGGAAAGGTGAGAGTCATTTTAATAGGCTGGGGCAAAAGCCTTGATCGAAATTTAAGCTTTATTTGCAAAAGTCACTTGTGTTACGGTAGGATCTTGATATATGATGTGTTCACCATAAAGGTCCTCAGCATGTGCCCAAAGATGCGGCAGCTATGAGCTTTCGGCACCGAAGCCCAATACGGCGGCGGCTATGAGTCAGTCAAGGACGTTGGAGTTTCCATTCTTGGGTTCCAAGTGATCACTGAATTTTTCTTCGCGAAGACAACTTTCAAACCTACAAATTATATGGTTGAGGTTGGACTAGATCCAGGGAATAGCTGAGTAGGGCAGCGCCTCCTGTTCGTGTTCGATAATTTTGTGACCGGAGCGCTTCGAACCATGCGATCGGGCGTTTCAGGAAGAATTCAAACTTCCGCGTTTCAGGTGCTTTCGTCGAAATGTCGGCCAATTTCTGTAGCTGAGAAGCGTACAATACACCTGGACGGTCGTGTAAAATCGACGAAAGCAGTTAAAAATAGTCTCCTTTGTTATCACACTAACAGCTAAGCACATTGGTCGTCCTTGACTGTTTTTGATTTGGTTCTCCGTGAGGTTCTCCGTTCTCCTCTCTCGGTGGATTGCTGAACCCAGTTACCGTTCTCAGTAATGACATATTGAGAAGTTTTTCCTGTAAGAACGCAGGTGCAAAAAGGTGCATACAATGGCTTATAAAAAACGCTGATACCAACTGCGTACTTTAGGTTTGGATATGGTAACTTCCCTGAATGCGGTGCAGATGTTGACAACAGCAGAAATAATGTGGTAGACGAAATATGCCTTTCGTGGGAGCTTGTGAAAAACAAGGGCTTGCAGATCAATGCTGCTCAACAAGTGTATATGCGAGTCTATATAATCACCAAAATGAAGCTCCTCAACCCATTGGCGACAATGTCGCCCGATACCGGGCGACACCCCTTGAATTTTATTCCTTTGATATTCCAAATTTTGAGCGGTACTATATTAACCCGGAACACGTTGTCAAACTTGTAATGACCACGTTTTTTGAACATCTTTCACAGTGAAAATTTCAAAGAAGTGTTGCTTGGAATCGGTTCAGTGATAAGGTTGTTCATTCTTGATGTAAAAAGCTCCTTTTTTGTATACTATAAGCTAACACAATGATACAACAATTGGCAAAAAAGAGATTTGTGTTCAATCTCATTTGTGGATTTTACAGTGGAAAATTGGAATTTTCCGAAGCGTTCCGACGTTTCACTTCGCGGGACGGGGAGATTTGTTTGCTTGGCAACCATTAAATTCGTTCAAGACAAATGATGTTTCAGCAGTTTCCGCAGGATGTGCTCATTGATTTGGCGTATGGAAGCGTTTCAGCATTAGGACGCAATTTTCGGGAACGCCCAAAAACTGCTTGGTCGCCAATGTGTTAAAAACATGCTCCGGAATTTGGCTCACCCGTTTCATATTTGAACGTAGTAGAAAGGCGGACAATCTCTGATGTCGCGCTTCTTTTGCGACTTGAAAGTGCGCGAGAAGGGCGCCAAGTTCGCGCGTCGCGGCCACGCCTTCGAATGTGGAAAGAAAGACACGGAGCCTACTGCAATCGGAGTGCGTTGCAGTTCTCCTCCTTAGGTCACCTAAAATTGAGACACCACTCGTTTGTTCGAAGCAAGCTTAGGACTAAGCCTGGGCCTAATCGTAGGCTTACCCTCCCCCTCAAAAAACCAGAAAGTGTCTGGTGCAGATCAAACACCACAAATGACGACGGCCTTCAAGTAAATCTGGTTAGTGGTGGCTCATAGTGATAGCTGATTTTTAGTAAATGATAGTTGTAATTAGTGTCAACTGATCGAATACAACTAATCATTTCATTGGCATAAAAATAGCTGCATTTTCTGAAGGGCGCCGTCACTTGTGGTGTATGGTCTCCATCCGACAATTTATGGTTTTTTGAAGGGCAGGGTAGGCATAAACCAATGTGTTAGCTTAAGTCCAGGCTTGAGCCTAAACCCAAGCTTAATCTCAGGTTTTAGTGATCGTGCAGGTTGACCTCAGGAAGAGGCTGAACGTCTTCCCTGCAATCGGCTCTACGGTCAGCTCTATTGTCCACAGTCCAGCGAGGGGGGTCGCAGTTGGCCGAATAAATGAGGGGGTTGTGTCCACAGCGGTAGAGGTCGTAGTGCTTGGAGATTTATGGGTGTGGGTGCGTAGGGGACCGTTAGTGCTATTAAGGGCCTATGTGTGTAAAAATACGTAGTTTGTGAAACAAGGGTAACATAAGTGTCAGAAAACTCGAAACAGCTCTGAGTGATAATACCACTCCTCTCGCCACTAGGTATTGTTCTGACTACTAACCTCCACCTTTTGGTTCTGCCCACATTCTCTTCCATTCTGTCAGATGTTGTCTATCTCTATGGGAAAATCCTTCGTTCAGGGTTGGAAATATTAGTAATTGCAAGCATTTCGTGAAATTTTGGCAATTCAACGAAGAATTTAGCCTTTTTCGTGCTTGCATTTACTACATATTTCCGACCTGAACGAAGAATTTTTTCAGAAAATCTGCATCCTAGCCAACAGTAAGTCCTACTCCCCTTCTGAAAAACGGTGCCACCACAGTCACCACGCGGCGCGTCACTCTGCCCACCTGGCGCTCTTTCGAGCGAGTGCAAACTCGAACATCCAGCTTTCACGCATGCAAGCGACTGTCCCCACTCCCACCCCCTAAGCTGCCTACAGTTCTCCTGGTTCACAGACTTCCGAATATATCAGGCGAGCAGAGTGCTGCGCCGCCGCGTGGTCACCCCAAAACATTTGAAATCTAGCTTTTTCTCGCGTTTTTTTCTTCATGAACTTGTTGGTGAAATTCTGCCCTCATTTAGGATCGTTTAGTCGATAGTTTCCCACGAGTGTGCCCTTCGATTGAAATTTGGTCTTCCCGAAAAATTGCGCTTCCGGATCAAGGAAATTTATTGGTTCGATTTCGATGCGCATAATTAAGGTATGAATAATGTGAAAGGCAAGTTCCAGCTCTACTCTGCACGTAATTATGCTGCCTACACATGTACTGGGCGGCAGGAATCATTGCAAATCCCTTACATGAACTAGCATGGATGGGGAAAATTTGAAAACTCGTTCATGTTGAACAGGGTCAAGCATCCGGTCTAACGGAGTATCCCAAGATTCATCTACAGGTCGCCTTGCGCTCAGTGAACCTCACTCAACGTACGTGTATGTATACTGAATATCCTGTAGTTGGGGTAGGTGTGGCACCGGAATTGACGTGCACTTGATAGATGTTGCATGGATAGCTATTGCCAGCGCACGTTGCTGGATATCAGCAAAGCATGCTGGAAACAGCTTATCCACGCAACTTCTATCAAGTACACGTCAATTCCGGTGACACACCTGCCCCAACTTTCGGATATCGGCTGTATAACACTCTGAGCATTACCCGGCCCCTCTTCCTCTCTAGAACTAGGCCTTAAATGGGAATCGTATAATTGATGGCGGGTTGTGCAATCATGGTCCATTTTCCTAACCTCCACCTAGATTAAGTCCACGTAGCGATGCCTCTCCTGAGTACGCATTAATTCGCTTGTTTCGATAATTTGTTACGCCTGGTGTCAGGAGAAAGGCAGCGTGGCTCTTTTCTAAAAGATGTCAACTGTTTGAGAATCAATTTAGCTCATCCCTGTTCTATTGGTGAAACCCACGACGAAACCCATGGTGGGAGTTGTCAATATAACCTTCTCTTCGTGAGCTGGGTATACCCAGACTAATTCACTGATGAAGTGCAGATGGCGTCCGTGTCAGAAGCAAACAGTGGAAATATGGCGACTCACCAGCCTGAGGAGAATCGTGAGCAGAGATCAAATGAAGATCATCCGTCGGGAACGCCTGTTAATACTTCAACCAGTGAAGAGCAAACAACTTCCAGTGGTGGGTTGATTTTCTGCGAGTTAGGTTTCGTAATATTTTATGCTAACACATGTATAAAACAAAAGGAAGCGCGAGTGTAGTTAACGGGTTAGGAGTGGGGATGGGGGAGGACATTGGTTAAGGCGTCAGTTGGAACATGAAAAGTGCTCACGCTTTGAGTCTCTCGCCTGATTGTGAGTCTTTGTCCAGTTTCCAACGAGATGGAGATATTTCATGCGATTTCAGGCGCTCGTGGTCTTGGGGAACATTCAAAACAGGGGCAGTGGTAGGTGACGATGTAGGACTGAGTCCAGGATAGGAGATAAACGCCAGAAAGAACACAAATTGTCCAAATTGTCTCCCAGAATCCCTTCCTTCGTTGGCTTGGTCCCAAGTACTGTGAGCGTAACGACATGAGCGTCCAATTTTCAAATGCATTGCCATCACAATGCCCTCTATATTGCAATAGCGCGCCATTTTTCTTTGCAGAGATGGGAAGCTCGCGGGTGGCTGAACTGTTTTGTTAGGCTCGTGTCAGAGTCCGTGATCCGTCGTGTTTGCTGATTTTCGCGATTTGCGTGACTCACGCGATTTGCGCGAAACCTGCAACGGATCGCAACAATTGCAAGTTTCCATCTGAACATTTGAAAGACCGAGGCCGAAGGCGGACAGTGAATCACACAATTGGCAGGTACCGCAACGCGACCGCGGACGCCAGCGAATCGCTAGTAGCGAATTGCGCGATTCGCAAAGTCTGACATCGGCCTGAATGTGAAACAAGTGGAATTATGAGCAGTCGTCATTCAGCCATCATTATCAAGCAGAAATGGCGGCAGGGCTGGAGAACACCTTGCAGTATTGATCGGGCACTTGTGATTTCCGTGACCCGTCGCGTGAATCGAGTGAATCGCAAAAATCGTGTGAATCAACAAAACCTGCGACGGATCGCGGAATCTGACACCAGCCTTAGTGCATGAATGGGGATCAAGCATGCATGAAATGGAAACGTTTGTTTTGGAATGTACGCCTCGAAAGTTTTGTGCGAACGAAACAAGCAAGAAATCCTTCCAGAGAAACTCCCATGCTTCTAGAACAAATCAAAGTGGAGGAAATTGCAGCGAATTCAGCTGATTGACCTCTGGTGCACTAATAGAAACCTATGACATTGAAAAGTTTTCCTTTTAAGATATTTTAGCGTATGCTACGTAGTACCGATCTTGTTGGTTTCGTATTCTTTACCGCTTCTCAATGTACCTCCCCTGAGGAAACTTATGGCAATCTGAAGGTTGAAAGCTCGCGTTTCAAGGGAATGTCCTAAAAAAGCCACTGAGGGAAAAACGGAACAACGGGACGATTTTTCGAAAGCGTGCTCATTTAGAAAAATTTTGATATTTTTTCAGAAGGGTCAATCTTCTAGTTTTAATTAGCTTTGAAATTCTTCAAAAAGTTAATAGTGAAAGAAGGTATGAATGTGACGAAAACTTAAACATTTCCAAAAATCGGACTACAAACCCCTGCAAACGGAACAACGGGATTTTTCTAAAAAAGTGATCCTTGGAAAACTTCTAGTACTTCCTTGGAAGCGCCAATTTTCCGATTTCTAAATAGCCTTGAAATAGGAAAAGTTGATGATGAAGGAATTTGCAAACGTTTGAATGATGAAAACTCGCGTGGCCCAAAAAACGGAACACCGGGAGAATCTGAATTGAACATTTGCAACAGTTCAAAAACATTTTAGAAGGGAAGCAATTCTATGCTTTCAAATTTCTGTGTCCTATGCTATGAAGCCGATTTTTAAGGAGGACATAACTTTTGAATGAAGAGGTATCATGAGGTAATCGCTGCAAGGTTTATTTATTCATTCCATAAAAAAGAGGAGATTTGCAAGTTCGGAAAGAGTTTGGTTGGTTTCTGAAAGTAGAAATCTCTTCAGTTGCCACCGGTAGGCTAGGTTTACGCAAAAATTTGGGAACTTCTGTTTAATGAGTGAAATTTCATGTTGCCTCGGTTCCTCTCCTCTGAGCAAGATAAAGCGCGGTAACTTATCACCTCACCACTGCCCATCGCCTTTCCATGACTGTGATGAGCCCAAAATATTAAAAAGGCAATACCTAATACAGGGAGATCGTACAGACACCCTAGAAAAGATCGGAAAAATTTTGCAATCTGCGCACGATTGACCCTTGTCGCGAGACTGACATCAATTTGTGAACACCTAAGACTTTCTTTCCATTATTGGGTAGCTTTGAGAAGAATAAGAGAGCAGCTAGGCTACTGTGTGAAGTTGAGAGATGTAGCCAGATTTAACTCGTTTCAGTTTCTAGAGAAGCCCTTAGCTCGAGTAGCTCAGGATCCGATTTGGAAATCGCTTCGAAGGAATATCGAACTTTTGAAAAGCGTGCACCAACGGTACGCGATTTTTCTTTGCGACTGTCGACTGCATTACTTCACATGTTTGCAGTGTTGTCAATTTGTAACATTTAGAGTATGCGCGGGTAGAGAACGTGTTATAGAAGCTTAACTTGTGTGGGTGTTTGCCAATACTCCACGCCTTCGGTGCGCGCACTACCAAATTCGCGGAGTTACTCCAAGTCAATCGAGAATGAAAATTGAGCGGTTAGAAGGGCTCGGGCCAATTGCCACGAACTTCGTCGCGCGAGAATCCGAGTGTTTCTCAAAGGCACTCTCCTTGATGCTGAAGAATTTAAAGTGAACATGATCATTAAATTATATGATCATTAAAAAACAGACGGCTCGAGAAACTACCTGAATCGTGTGCTGTAGAAGCCACTTGTTTGTAGTGTTGTGGTGTTTCTAACAACTGTGTAGATTCTTCTAAATCATCATTCTTCAGCTTCTAGCAGACAAGGCTATCTTGAATGAAAAATCTCGAAATTTTTCAGAAGCTGTTGTATGGTGCTAGTGCTGCGAAAGACGTAGGCGTCCAAGAATTTTGGAGAGCAGCATATCAGTTTGCTTGTACTCCTTACGGTGGGAATGGAGTTTGGGGGGGGGTACCCCATGTCATCTTAGGTTCTAAAACTAAGTGTAAACTTATAATTGAAGGGCTCATTTGAAGCGTATTTTTGATAAGAATCAGTGAGTATCCTACATCCAATACGCCCTGCTCACGCTCTGTCCAATTTTTGCCTCTGGTCAACCACCCTAAATCTGCTTCAGGCTTACACTAGGCAAGGATGTCCATTCCCCTGGTTCAGAAGCGTTTTCGTAAAACGTTGCAGGTTGAGAGGTGAAAGCACCTCAGGTATACTTCCATCTAGACCGGTACTCATCAATTATATTTCAAATGAGTCGATTACTCGTCATGAGCGCTATTGTTGTTATTTTGTCTTGGTGAGGTTGATGGATTGCCATAGCAGTTCGTATACCGAACATGGCCCTCATACATTAAATCCATTTGAAAGAAAAGGCGCGATTTATTTGACATACAATCAGACGGGGCTTGACCGATTGCTTTTCACAGTCATGGTGGGGAGTTCACTATTGCGCTTACCACGTTACCTCATATGACGGCAACGCGTGTTTCGAGTTTCGGCCGCGGCACGGGAGCGATCTCGCCGACCTTGCCCTACACCCGTCCATTTACTGACAAAAATCCAAAAATGATTTTCACGGCATACTTTTAGCAATGATCAAAAATGGAAGCCAGTCAGAGATATGAGAGTAAAATTCCATTTAATTACAATGAATGAGCAAAACCTAGCAAATCTACGTCAGATTTTTTCCTTGGTTGTTTCATTAGAAGCCCAAATCTCGCCATAAATAGAGCTTTTGCTACCCTCTTTTGTAATTTTTTATATGAAAATCATGGCAATGGAAGGGAAACGGAATGAAATTTAACTGAAATCTGATGAGGCTCAGGAAACCTCATCTAATCACAGGGCGATGTGGCTATGTTACTGCATTACTTATTGAATGAATATAGGCAATTTGGAAAGAACGTGTGCATTTGAGTAAAAATGGACGGCGAGATTCTGACGCGCATGAGCGTCAGCCTGTCATCGATGTGTTAAATGATCTTGTTCACCATCAAATCCAGTTTGTAATCTTGGTAATTGAATGAACGCAAGGCTCAGACGAAGTTTCATTTTCCTGAGTCGTGCTGTTACCTGTTATCATTGGATTGTTTGTTACTGCTAAACCGGATGAGCGAATGATTTGTTAAGTTGATAGATTGCTTTGAGTTTTGTCTTTTTATCATTCAACTGGCTTGTTTGGTACCATTCTGCTTGCAGTTATGTTTTGTTTTACTACGATCCAATAATATTTTTGCTTCAGTATTCACAGAGATTTGGCGGCCGCGACCGTGTGGTAATGTGTCGTTATAACCCGACCCACATGTTCGACATACTCGAAATCGACAAGCATCAAGAAATTTGCAAGGATCGCCTCCGTCTCGAAAAATATGGATGCTGAACGGTTAGGTTGAGGAGAAAGACTTGATTGAAACTTCAGCTCTCTTTAAGAAACTCATTCTTGTTACGTATGATTTCTATGACATGCTTATCACAATAGTCCACAACATGTGCTAAGCGATACGGCCCATTTTCGATTCCTGAGGCTCAGAATGGTGGCGGCTGCACTCAAAAAATTAAGATCTTGGTTTGTGTTGTCGCGATTGTAGCTACATTTGAGGTTACGTGTTGTTTGTATAACCACCGAGTAGCTCCGGTAGCCTTTCAGATTTCTGAGGCTCAGAATGGTGGCGGCTGCAGTCAAAAAATTAAGATCTCATTTTGAATTTCTTCGAGCGTACGATTTTCGAGCAAGGCAGATGGTAACCGGATGCGCTAGATCTAGCGAATGGGATGAATAAGGTAACGGCTTCCATCGATGTTCAACTTTCGACAGGACGGTTCTGGAAGATGCGATCGGGCTTCTTTGTGATGGAACATTTTTTTTTCGCGTTTGTGGGTTTCTGTCGAACACTGTGCCTTGACTCCTGTAGTTGACAAGCATACACCTGAACGGTCATTGTGAATCTCTGGAGCATCTCGGGGTGGAGGATCTCTTGAGGATTCTCTCAGTCCCTGAGCAAAGCCATTGCTGAGCACATTGGTATTCTGATATGGTTCTTGGAGGGACAGCCACTGGTGACGTGCGTATGGTTTGCAGGTTGAACCTAGCAACTGTCTTCAGTTACTACATATTGGAAAGGCATGGTGGGTAGTCTCGTTGTTCGCAGCAGTTGGACATCCAGAGCGAGATGTAGGAATTGCTCCTAAAGGAAGCGCTGATGTCAAGTGCATACCTTGGGTTGGGACATGATGATTTACTTGAATGCAGCGCGTGGGCTGTCGACAACTGATGTTGAGATGAGGCTTTTGAGGAAATTCATAAAAAACAGTGAGTCAAAGATGGCTCCAGTATGAAGTCGTTGTTGCTTTACACGTATATATGCGGTTTGTATAACCACCGAGTAGCTCCGGTAGCCTTTCACCAACCCCTACCATGGGAGCTCCTCCTTTCACTGATCCTCTGATCAATTCATAGAGAAGAATGAGTTTCAATTGAGATTTTTTTTCTCAACCTAACATTTTGAATTCGGGTTCGGTTTGTGTTGTCGTGACTGTAGCTACACTTGAAGTTACGTGTTGTCATAAGCGTAAGCTAATTTGTGGTTGTGTGTTGTCATCAGCGTAAGCTAATTTTGAAATTGTTTCTTGTTCAGAGCGTAAGCTTTTTTATGAACCGTTTTGTACATTCATGTTCTTGACACGGGATGAGCCCGTAAGAGCTCGTAATCGTACCGAAGCAAGCCCCGCAGCTGGGCGAGTCAAGCAGCGCAACTTACAAAAAAATTTCAAGAGAGGGAGCCGGGGTCTCGTAACTTCTTTCATATGAAACCTTAGTACTATTTTTGAATTTGATGTTTTTTGTGCCAATTAGTTTGCTAAGCAGGTTTTTATGAGCGACCTGACCAATCGATTTTACAAAAGCAAAATGTGGCTCATGATTTGAGAACTGCTAAAAACGTTCCGCCGGGTATCACCTGCCAATTAAACTGTACTGCGAGGTATTGATGAAAAAGTTAGATTTACAAGTCCAAACTAGTGGATTAATGAAGGCTTTGTCCTGGTACTTTCATAGTAACTCTTCACTGTTTTGTTGACAATCTTTAATTGTTCCTTGGAGAGGAGACATTAGGCACTTTGGAGAGCAATCCATAAACCTTAGGCCAGATATGGCCCTTAGGTGAGTTGACGTGATCAGAATATTGAACCGTTGGTAAAATTCTATTCAAGAACTATACACAAGAAACATCGGCATAGAGAGAAATTGAAGTTGGTAACGGTGTAAGAATATCACTCAGTGAAACCCTCACTGGAAACGGCCTTCTCGGATGAATCACTATGTGCTTCTGAGGGCGAGATCAGCGCTCTTTGAACAAGCACTGCAAGGCCAGGGTGAATAATTTACGTAACTTATTGAGAAGTTGGAGACGACAAACGAGTCCCTTTTCTTGAAGTATCGGTAGTAGGTCGGACAAATTCATGCGTGCTGTACAGGGAGTAGACGACCTGGGAATTATTAAAGTGCATTTCAAAGTAGGTACTTCCGAGGCTAGTGCAAATTCACTTCTTCGAAAACAAGGTGATTTTGTTTCGTACATATGGCTAGATTTAATTGGGTAATCGGAAAATAGTAAACATACACCAAATCCCGTGAGTTTGAGCGAGGACAAAACGCTACAAAAGCGTGGGACCTGGGAAAATCTGTGCCTTAGGCCTATGCCATAGTTTGCGAATCGAGCGAATCGCTGGTGCAACGTTCGATTCTCTGAGCGTTGCGTCAGCGAATCGAACGTTGCACCAGCGAATCAATAGTGACAGGACAATACGTTCAGAGGAGTTCCTTTGAACGTTGGGTTCCGCCACCATTGAGTCGCTGGTACATCGCTGGCCTCGCTGGTGCATCGTTCGATTCGCTGGTGCAAAGTTTGATTCGCTGGTGCAACGCTCGGATCCAGCGATTTGCTAGCAAATCGCCTGATTCGCAAAGTATGACATCGGCCTTAGTCGGCCGCGGCAATGCAATCTCTTATTGTGGAGTGTTATGCGCTGGCTAGGACAGGTAGACTTGAAGCAAAAGCAGGCTTTCAACTTTTTATGGAGACCTAGGTAAATCTATTAGGTTGTCCCGAAATGAATGCCGGTTTCAATGTCTCATATTTTACTTGATATTTTTCCGAGAAATTTCCATACGATTGCTGTACTATTGCATGTCGCTGGAAAGCCCATTTCATTTTCTTTCTTGCACGGCCATTGTATTTTGATTGGACTCGGGCCTTACTTTTTTTAAAGGTCTGAAGTGAAGGCGTCGAAGTAGTGGTTTGAGCTGGTTCATTTCTATGAGTTGAAATTTGGAGAGGGTGCTGTGCGGACAGCTCTGAATAGGATAGCTGTGCGGGGCTAAGGATGTTGCAGTGAAAACACACTGCTTCGGTGGCTCCGAAGCTTTCAAATTAGGGAAATCTAGATTCGAAGTGAGGGGAGGTTACGGACGACATTCTCCTCTTGACGGCGGCCTTCTGAAGACCCGACAGGAGAAGATTCCCGAACAAGTGTACGGCAGCCAACAGCATAACCTTGAGCAAGCATACTGAAATTTTCGGAGCGCCTGAAGGTACTTGGGAAGGTAAGAAAGCTGGACAAGTGGCTACCGCATGAAGCTGACTGGCAGCAGCAAAGTCACCTTGCAGGGATCTTGACACAGCTTTTTTTACTTAACAAAAATGTCCGACTCTGAAACGTTTCGTCATCCTCGACGGAAACAGACCCTTCGCTATAGAATAGAGCAATTTTCCATGTTGTCCATGTTGACGCTCAGCCACATGTCGCATAAAGGTCTTCGTAAGGGAGGGATAAATCAACCTATCCAGCTTTGCTTCTTATAGTGCATTCGCAGGATCTCACCCTCACCAAGCTCCTATTTCCTAGCAATCTCGACAGCTTCTTGAGGAGAAAAAGATCTGAAAACCGAGACATGATGGAAAAGACCTTGGCCGATATTTGAGCTTCTATTGATCCTGTCTCTCGAGTTCGTTAATTAAACCAGTACGCTTCCTGCTAAGAAAAATGATTAGTTTCCAACACGTTTTTGAATTAGTGAATATGTCGATTTTGAGCTTACATTAGATATGTTGCTTTGAAGACGGAGGTCAAAAACCCATTAGATATGTTGCTTTGAAGACGGCGGTCAAAAACCGGCATTCATTTCGGGACAACCTAATATAAGGTCAGGAATGTTACTCAGAAAGAAGGAGACGAAAACTGCTACGTGAACTTTCCAAACGTAGAAACTTCATTAAAACCTTAGGTATAGATAACTCAGATCAGAAAAATGACACCCATTCCGGCACCTTTTTTCTCCCACCACGGCAAAATTGTTGGATGTGAAGCACAACCTGCAAAACTCGTGCACCAACCGGGAGGGCATCAAAAGCTACAGCTTGCAGATTCGGAGACCAGTCGCTGCGGAGTGATTCCGGACAGGTTCGCTCGTCTGACATACTTCTTTGGTAACCTTGATGGTATTAAATTTCTTTTAGAAAGTTCAGGTAGTAGTTTTAGGATGGGTATTTCGTCCCGCACACTATAGCTTTACTTAGGTCTCTTTCAAAGCCTCGTGGATAGTGCTTAATTAGTTAGATGGAGTGTGTGACGAGGCTAAGGACTTTGACCCACTCTCAGCTCACTGAGCGTATGCAACAAGCCCCGAAGGTCTTCGAGCATATGTCCCTGACGACCCACAGGGCTTATTGCATACGGTCGCCGAGGGAGATATCCCTAAAGGTCTGCGGCACACTCCTCGTGCGCTCGCATGCTAAGGAAACTACATTGCAACCGGTTCATCTAATAAAAAGAATATGTCAGAACAGATTGTGAAAAAACATTCAAAAGTAGTCCATTTCTTTGGGTTATTCTAGCGTTCTCAAGCGAATTGCCGAGGATTACCCTAAGCAAACTTAGGCGAGTGATCCACCTCCATCCGGTCTCACATTTTGGTGAATGGAGAAAGTCGTCCCTGTTGTGCCAGACTTTGGCTCCTTCACACACTTCTGTTCCGCCATCAAACCGGTGTGTGGAAGAGTGAGGGGGGGGGGAGTACTAAAAAACAATACGACTGTTAAACCGTGGAGCTGACCAAATTCGTGAAACAACTGGGAAAAGTTTCCGCATCTCACTAAGGCAATACCAAATTCTCAGAAAACTTCTAATCCTGTGCTATCCAGAAATACGACACATTTCCCCAAATACGACCTTCTACTCAAAGTCTCACAATGCGATCCCTTCGCCCGACGTCGTCAGGAAAAACGCAGATCATCACGTATTGGAATCTGATTGCTATAGAAAAGGAATTCAAGAGTAAAAGCGATATCCTAAGAATCCCATTAAATTGCTGACTACTTTATA